GGGCGGGCGGCCGTAGCGCGCCATCTGCACGCGCAGCTCGCGGCCGTCCAGCACGGCCCCGTCCATGGCGTCCATGGCGTCCTCCGCGTCGCGCTTGTCGTGGAAGCGCACGAAGGCGAAGCCGCGGGACTCCTTGGTGTAGCGGTCCCGCGGGATGTACACGTCGCCGACGCGCCCGTACTTCTCGAACACGCGCCTCAGCGTGTCGGGCGAGGTGCGGTAGGTCAGGTTGTCCACCTTGAGGGAGGTCATGCCCTCCACATCGGGGGGCGGGCGGCCGTAGCTCATGGCCCTGGAGAGGCGGCCCGAGGCCCGCGGCGCGCCGACAGACTAACGCCCTGGGAGGGCCGCGCGCTCGGCTGCGGAAGCGGCGGCGGCCGCCTCAGGCTGGCTCGGCTCGACGCCGCGCCGCTTCAGTGGCAGTTGGCTTCCGCGTGGAAGCGTCGCGGAAAGGCCGGACGGAGAAGCTCGGGCGGCTGAGACGGACGGCCAGCTCCACCAGAGAAACGACTGGGTGGGAGGGCGGCCCCCGCGCCTATTTATAGCTCTCCTCACAAAATGGCGCCCGCGCCACCCGGAAATGAATCCTCTGATTGGCTCGGCCCACCCCTTCCCATTACGTCGCGGCCGCGGGCCCCGCCCCTGTCCGGCGCGCTTGCGCAGAGCTTGGCGGGCGGGCCGAAAAGCGCGGAGTCACGGCTGCTGGGAGGGGGGGAGCGGAATCTGAGGGCAGTTGGAAAGCCCGCGAAACGCTCTTTCCGGTCGTGCAGCGAGCGCGTCCGCGGGGGTAGGAGGAAGAGGCGGCGCTCCCCTCCCGAGCCCCGCCTCCCTTTCCGTGCCAATGTGCGAGCTCCACGCGGCTTTTCGGCTCGCCCTTCAGTCCCGCCTCCGGGAGGGGCGCTGTCCCGCGTTTCCTTGGTTTTGGTGTCCCCGGCGTCCCCGACCCGACCACGTCCCTGCCAGTCCTCCTCCCTCGGTTTCCTCTTCCCGCGCTCCTTCGCGGCGCGGCCTCGGCCGCGCGCACAGCCTCACGGCGCGGGGCGTTCTGCGGCGCGCCTGCGCGGCGTAGGCCGCCCGGGACTACATTTCCCGGCAGGCTCGGCGGCCGGGGCTGCGGTCAGGTGACCCTTCGCCTGACCCGCGGTGAGTCCGGGGCGGGCGGGGCCGTGCCCGCTGCTGCAGCGGCTCGCCCTTGGCCCCCCCGCGCCCCTCGCGGGCCCCTATCCTGGGGCCGCTGCCTCCTCGGCGTTTCTCCGGGTGTTGGGCCCTTCCCTCCTCGAGTCGTAACCGAGGAGTGCCCTGACTGGCGCGGGACAGGCGCTCACCCCAAACCCGGGATTCTCCTCCCAGAGCTGCAAGTTGACAGCTGGGCTGCGGCCGCCGGACCTGCCGCCGCCGCTCACCTCCTCTCTTCCCCCCAGGACTGGCAGTGGGTTCGCCCCGAGGACAGCCGAGTGCCGGGCTGCTGCCGACCTCAGGCAGGGTTGAGCCACAATGTCCCCGGAGTCTAAGAAGCTCTACAACATCATCATTTTAGGCGTTGCCTTCATGTTCATGTTCACCGCCTTTCAAACCTGTGGAAACGTGGAGGTGAGTCGGGAGCTCGGCCCCGCCCAGGCTGCCTCGCAAAATGGCAGTGAGGGGTTAAAAATACCTCGGCGGGCTTAGGCTGCGCCTGTTTCCTCACCGCTCCCTTGTCTTTTATCGCTAGGGTTGACTTCATGTGTCAGACATTCCTTCTTAATGGATGGGGTGCTGGCCATTTCCGTGTTTTCTCTCATTTGATTTGGGGTCTGTTTGTTTCGTGTTTGGATCTGCTCTTCATCAGCACGCGGAGAGTTAAGGGGACCGACCCAGCTGGAGCAGCCCTGCCGGTCCCCAGCCCGGGTCGGGTCGGGGTCGCCAGGGCCTCCTGCCGTCGGTTTCCTTAGCCCCATGACCTCAGTGTTGCGCAGCCTCAGTTTTCACGTTAGGCTGAGTATTTGCGTCAAACTTTCCAGGAGAGATCACGAAACGTTTCTGTTGATCAGTTTTCTCTTCCACGCAGCAAACTGTCATCAGGAGCTTAAACAGCACGGATTTTCATGGCAGTGGATATACCAGGTACTGTGTTTCAAAATTGGGTTTATTTGACATTCAGTAGCAGTTGCTTAAATCCCATCAGAATCACGGGCAATAAGATCTTGCCATCGAGGGATTGGTCTCCCTCCCTCCCTCTCTCTCTCTGGGAGAGATTAAACGATAAGGGTGATGGAAGAGTTTCAGATTTTATGTAGAATTGGACGCCACCCTTGAATCCTGGCTTTACAGTTTAATTGTCAGGTTATCATGGGCTTCTGAGGGCTTGATTTCATTGCTCGATAATGCTTGTAAAATGCTTGGCCCAGTGCCTGGCTTTTAATAAATACCCAGACATTGTCGTAATTATATCTTCCCAATCCTAAACACAATGTTTGTATGGTTCTTAAAATGTTTGTAACTTCATGCTGATTGATATATTATCATCAGGAACTTTCCAAGTCCTTAGTATGTTGTGGTCGACTCTGGGAATGTAATGCATCCATGCATATATTCACATGTACACGTTCCACTTCAATAACATATACATTACTCACAAGAAACTCATTAAGCGAGTTTCTTAATTTTTTTGTGATGAGATAGTAGATCATGGCCAACACCCCGCCTTTCTCCCCAGTTCTTCTTTTTTGGTTCTTGCGTTTATGTATCCTAAGACTGACTTTGTGTATGACATTTGCAAGTCAAGCGAGGTAAATGTCCGTGTTCCCAAATGATTAGTACCATCTGGCAGGGTTCTCCTCTGACCGCCTTTCAGTAGCGCTGCATCTTTCTGTGCATTCTGAAGAGCCAGTGAGAGGACATTTGTCATTGAGAGTCATAAAGCCCACAGCTTGTTTACTTTAAACTTCTATGCGTAGTAGCTAGTCAGTTAAGTCGGAATGCGCGAAATGCTTCTAGTCACATTTTGCTGTAAGAGCCATGTACCAAGGTTGGGTGTGATAATGGATAATGTTCAAGTGCGTTGAATCAGTTCCGAGTCAGGAAAGTTCTGCCTCTGTGGCGTCATGTGTAGCAGGGAAGTTGCCATGAGTTGCGGGCTGTTTGGAGAGCAGCCTGGCCCAGGAGGGGCTCGGAGCGGACTGCGCCAGGGCTGAGGGGCGGAGCGGGCTGCACCCCCACCATGTGCAGGTGGGGTTTGGGCGAGCTGTTCAGCCCTCAGTATTTCCTTTTGTAAAACGAGGGTGAAGCAGTCCCTTCTTCATGGAACTGTTGGACTAAAAATATGTAGCAAAGTACTTGCCTCCCAGTGCTTGATTGTTCGCTGCCACAGTCAATCATCAGTCCCTAAAAGCCATCCTGACCAAGCCAGCAGCTGAAAGAACGTCAGCATTCCGGACAGGCGAGGTCCCGAATGGGACGTTCAGGCTGTGGAGCAATTACTAAGGTTGAACCCAGAATGATAAATGCGAAAATCGTGGGCTAAGTTGATTGGGGAAAGTGACCTTTGAGACCGAAGTGCCTGAAGAGTTTGTGTGTCCCCCTTGCGCCCGCGTGCAGCATGGCCATCATTTACGGGGTGTTCTCTGCCTCCAACCTCATCACGCCATCCGTGGTCGCCATCGTGGGCCCCCAGCTGTCCATGCTCGCCAGCGGCTTGTTTTACAGGTGAGTGGTGCTGCCTTGGGCCACTCGGAGTCTTGGGAGGTATGGGACAAGCTGGCTCAGCCCGGGCTGGGTGGACGGAGCATGGCCCGAGGGGCCTGGACACTCGGAGCCTCGTGGGACGCATGGGCGTTTGCTCTTGTTACTTTTAGTAATGATATTATTGGAAAACCTCTGTCCATGAGCTGGAAAGAACTTTCCATGAACCAACCTCCTTTACATAAAGCAGACCAGTGGGGACTTAAATAAAACCGACCCTTTCTCCTGGGCTGGACAGTGACAGCCCAGCCACTGCTGAAAGGCCAGCGGCAGAGCGCCCATTCGGTGTCCCAGTTGCAGATCTGAAAACGTAGAGCGAGAGCTGAGCGAGTCGCCTTCATTTCTTTACGCGGGGGTGGGGGCCCGCGCAGGGTGAATTTGAAAAGAAGCGAGCCCTCAGCACTGACCCCAGCAGGCATGGCGGCTTCTGCTTCAGGTATTGTGACTGTAATCCGTTGACCCGTTATATTTTAGCATGTACATTGCCGTTTTTATCCAGCCTTTCACGTGGTCCTTCTACACTGCCTCCGTTTTCATCGGAATCGCTGCTGCCGGTGAGTGTGGGGTGCTTATTTTGTCTTCTTGGGGCTTATCTGTGAGAGCGTGTATGTGCTCGGGCGTGAGGCCCAGTCACTGGCTCCCTCACTAAGCCTTCGGTCTGGCTCCTAGTGCTCTGGACGGCCCAAGGGAGCTGCCTGACGATGAACTCCGACGAGCTCACGATTGGAAGAAACAGCGGCATTTTCTGGGCCCTCCTGCAGTCCAGGTACCGACCCTTTGCGCCCCGTCTTTTGGTCCCACCGAAAACTCAGCTGCCATGGCAGAGCCTGGCCGCGCAGCTGCGGGTTGGTGGCTTCTGGCACTTGGGAGTCATTGGTGGAAAGTGCCACGAGCCACACGCGGCTGGCATCTCCTCTGCCGCGGGGGCCGTCGAGGTCTGCAGCCCGCCTGCTGCGGAGCCGACTGGCCCCGGTGAAGTCCATTTGGCTTCCGGTGTGGCCTTTCTGCCCATGGGCTGTGCTGCCTTCTGGCCCCTGCCAGGTGAGCGTGTCAGCGTGAGGCTGGCCCGTCAGCCCTGACTGATGCCCCTTGTGATGCATTCCTTAAGTGAAAAGCAGCAGTAGTCTGTCGTGGGACATGTCCTGAGGAGCTGTCCTCGTGACGGTCGCCTAAAATATGGTGCAGGAAGTCTTCACAACGCACGTGGTTCGGCTCGAGGGTTCGGCTCCCGCAGCTGAGTGAGGGAGCCCTTGTCGAGAGCTTGCTAAATAAGGTATCGGTTAGGCGCAGGGAACCAGGTCGAGGGTTTTTTCAAAATACTGGATTCAGACACCGTGTGAGTTAGCTTCCCAGGGGTCACTGCCAGAGTGCCCGCAAATCACATGCTTCATAGTGAGTCAGGTCTCCTTGGAAGGGCAGTTCTGAGTCAGGTTACTGTCATGTGGGGAGACGTGAATTCCATCTGGGTCAGTTCAGTCTCTCACCGCCAGGGTGAGCTGGTACCTTCAGGATGCCCTAGGGCAGCGGGAGAGTAACACGCTGTCTGACAAGTAACGAAAAACTGTCTTGCAGCATATGAGCACAATTTGACGGCAGCCTCTTCGCCCTTCTCTCCCCAGCTTGTTCTTTGGAAACCTCTACATCTACTTCGCGTGGCGAGGGAAAACTCAGATCTCAGGTTCGGCTTCTTCTCTTCGCCTCGCTCACACCTGCCAGCGCGATACACCCACACGCAGGTTACCGCCTGCTCACGCTGTGCTTCGGGACCGCAGATCCTCCGAGACGTCACTCTCAGTGACCTTCTCTGACGTCTCTTCAGACGACGACGACAGCACGTGCTCAGTCCGCGGCCTCCGAGAGGGCCGTGTGGGGACTGCCGCCCGCGGCCTCAGGCTGCTGGTCTTTCTCAGCTTCTAAATATTTTCTAACTGAAAGACAGGCTGAGGTGTCTCATGTGTTTCCTTCTGGGTTTTCCCTGATGCAGTAAAGGAAGGCTCCAACGAGGAAGTGTTTCACAGCTTCAGATGCTCTTTCTGTGAAAGTGTTAGCTCTGGAATTGCCTGTGGGGCCCGAGCGCTCACGTCCTCCTTTCCCTCCCTAGACAGTGACCGAAGAACCGTGTTTATCGCCCTGACAGTCATCAGCCTTGTGGGGACAGTGCTTTTCTTTCTCATTCGGAAGCCGGATTCTGAAAGCGTCCTGGGAGATGATGACCCTTCTGATGACCAGGACATGGAAGTCAGCGAGTAAGCAGTTGGAAACCTTCCTTTTTATTGCCAAGTGTGTTGGGGATGAGGCCAGTGTAGAAGTCCCCGACCCCTGTATAGTGCTAACTTACACCCGACATTGGACGAACAGGAGGCTGAGGTCTGAAAATAAGAGGAGAAAGATGGTGAAGCGAGGGGGAGGGGGAGGTAAAGAGAGGTAGACAGAGGAGGGAGGGAGCGGAAAAGGTTCAGAGGGGTTGGCGCGGGGTCCCGGGTGCCACTGAGGGTAGCTCCGGTAGGCGCGAGCTTCTCAGCCTGTCTCTCCCTGCGGCTCAGCTGCACGCCGTGTTGGGATATGCAGGAGTTCATGCACTTAAGTGGACAGGCCTTTGCCCCTCTCCGGCCTGAGCACATGTGTGCACGTGCTGCCCACGCCAGAACGCAAAGCGAGCCGTGCATGTGGATAACGTGCTCACACACGGGACACATCACCTATTTTCTATGGGGAAACTGATACCGGGGGAGTCTGGGAAGGTGAATTCGCAGGCCACGGGCTCCTCGCCTGGCACTTGGCGGGTCTGGAAGGAGAGGCCCAGCCGGTGGGCCTCTTCCACTGGCCCACAGGAGCTCCCCTGCCACACCAGGTCCCTCCTCGGCCTGAGGGGTGTGGCATGAACACAGTGGGGCCCTCCGGTCCTGGAACGTGTTCAGAGGATCTGGTAGACGAGGCACGTGTCGGGGAGTCAAGGTTAAGTGCGGAGAGGCCGGGAAAGGGGAGACAGCAACAGGCGAGGCCCCCGGGGCCTGGCGGTGCGGAGAAGCCCTGGGAGCGGGGCTGCTGCGGGCTGCTGCGGGGCCCGGCCCTGGTGGAGGATCTGCTCAGCGGCTGGTCTGAGGTGACGGGCAGCGCGCCCTGCCCTCCCCGCCGCACGCTCAGCCTGCAGCTCCTGGCCAGTGGCCTCTCTCCCCTTCTCCCTTAGGTTTGAGCGTCTGGTGTGTTCCAGGTGTCGTCTGGCAGGTTAAGTACCTGCAGGGTACAGAGTTCATGCACCCCCGGGGCTCACTGTCTCCTGAGAGGAGGCGAGACCCGGGGGACTTCTCACAGCTGGAGCTCACACGCGTACAGTCGGCCGCTCCACATGTCCAGCTCGGCACCTTTTGTGTCTTCCCGAGCTCTGCTCGTCCCCGCTTATTCCCGTAGAGCATCGCACCCTCCCCAGTGTTCTAGATGGGCGCCGGGGCCGGAAGCCCGTGTCCGGCCTGTGGAGGACATGAGGACAGGCTTCCACAGACCTATGTGAAAACGTGACAGTTTCGTTGTGGTTTCAGTTTTTAGAGTAAAACCTCCTTTTTCTTTTCCCTCATCAGGTCCCCCCAGAACAACATGACAAAGGCAGTCGACGCGTTCAGTAAGTGTCTTCTGTGCCTGGACTCCAGAACGGTTCAGGGAAGCTTCTGCAGCTGCTTTCCCCTTTTCCCTGGTAACTGGACTGACCCGTGTGAGCCGCCCTGAAACGCCTTTGTCTTCCCCATAAGTGGCTCTGTGGGGGTGGGCGCAAGGGGCGGTCAGGAGCCCCGCAGAGACGAGTCGGTCGGGCCTCCGCGGAGGAAGGCCGCTGTGCCTGGCCCGCCGTCCTCCCCGCGCTGGCTCCAGCCCTGGCGTGCCCTGCGTTGAGCGTTCTTCCAGCCCAACCCTCCTTTGAGTGTTGGCTGGCACAGTACAGGCCAGAGGTGCAGGGGGTGAGAGGACTCACCTAGAGACAGAGGGGGGAGCAGAACAGGCAGATGGACGAGGTCCACTGCCGAGGGGAGCAGGGGGACACAGGAGAGGTCTTCCTGGTAGGAAGCTTGCTCTGTTGCTGCTTTTACGTCTTGGGAATAGCCCCTCTCTGAACAGTGGTCACAGGTCCACCAGTCGTGGGGTTGCTGGACCGCATGCCACCTCGTGCTGGAACTCCGAGGCCTGGGCCCGTGTCTGGGTGGCCGTGCCGTCACGTGCCTGCCGGGGCTGTTGCTATTCTCCAGCTCTCCTCTGGCCTCGGCACGAGGCCGCCTCGCAGAGTCAGGCTGGGCATCCTCGTTTTGGCTGCACGTCCCGGGAGGCTGGTGAGCGGGTTTCTGTGGCCCCTGGCCGCACACCGTCTTGAAGGTGGACTGCTTCTCCCTTGTGGGTGAGTCGTCCCAGCAGAGGTGCGTGCTCTGTATGACCTGCAGGGCTCTTCCCGGTCTTCAGGTTGACTTTTTACTTCCTGGTCGGATCTTGTGAAGCAGGAAGGTTTTTAGTTTTCCATCGAGTCTGACGTGCCTGGCTTTTTCCTGTAGCTGTGTGTGCATTTGGAGTCCTACGACACTTCGCTTGATCCCGGGCCATGAGATTTCGGCCTTGTTTCCTTCCAAGATTTCCTGGCCTCAGGTCCTCCTGAAGGACCTGGGCCTTGCTCAGGGGTCCTCTGGCTCTGTGGCGAGGCAGGACTCCGCCGCTCCCCCCACGGGTGCCCGGCGCCGCAGCCTCGTTGGCTGAGAAGGCTTCTCCCCAGTGACTGCTGGCCGTCAGCCCGCTGCAGATTGAGGGCTTATTGCTGGGTCCCTTTGTCCTCTGCCAGTAACACGCTGTGTGTTGTGAGCTTACAGTTGGAAAGTGTTAGTCCTTCAGGATTGGCTGCTGGGGCTTGTTTCCATCGGACTTTTAAGTCGAGCTTTCAGCTTCTGCCAGTAGGTTATGGTGGGTTTCTTCATTTTTCAAAGCAGTTTTAAGTTTACAGAAAATTTGAGGGGAAGGTGCAGATGTCTGCCGTGCACCCTGCCTCTCCCACTTCTCGTTCCCCCCCAGCAGCCTCTTCCATGGCCAGAGTGGACCATCGGTTGCCACGTAGGACCCCACGGTGACTCACCGTGTCACCCCGAGGGCAGAGTTCCCACTAGGGCCCCTCTTGCTGCGGGGCCGTCTCTGTGCTGGGGCGACGGGTGACAGGTGCTCCCGACAGCACTCGGTGTGTGTCTGGTGACATTGGCGGTCTGGAGGCGAACGGACTCAGAGACACCTTGCTGTGCCAGTGTGGCACTTCCTTTAAAGATGCTTTTTTAAACGCTGTAGGCTCACGTTTTCCCACAAGTGTGCAGTCTTGCTGCGTTTCAGTGAGTGAGTCGTGTGCTGCATGTGGAGAAATTCAGGGATTTCGGACAGAATGCCCTGACCTTTGCAAGTTTTACAGCTGGTAGTCAAATGAGAACTGAAGCCTGGTCTGTCGTGTGGCGTGCCAGCGTCATGGTCCGTACCTTACCAGACGGGCGGTTCAGAAGGACAGTTAAACTGTGGGGCTGTCAGTGCATGGCCATCGCACGGCAGTCCAGCAGTGTGAAAGCGAACATCCAGGTGACCGGCAGCCCGAGCGCGGACCTTCCTGTCCTCAGGCGCGGACAGCGAGCCGCTCCAGACGCGGCGGCCCAGCTCTGCTCGTCCTGCCCGAGTCCAGGCCCAGAGCCGCACTGCGCCGCACCTTAGGGCGGCTCGTGCCCCGGGCCCCTGGCCTTTTCTCAAGCCTGGAAGTAATCCGTTTTGCTTGGTCCACTTCATGCTGTCTTTGTAAGTGCTGGAGAAGGCGTGGGGCAAAGCCTGCCCCGGACTAGCGTCTGGCGGAGCACACTCGGCACCGGCCTTCGCCTTCGCCTTCCCCTGAGGGGCTCGGACGGGGGGAGGGGGTGTGGGTGTGGGTGTGGGTGTGGGTGTGGGTGTGGGTGTGGCTTTGGCTCGATTAATCAAACTCACGGTAAATGCTGATACTGCCAACTGTTTGCTTTTTTACAGAAAAGTCTCTTAAGTTATGTGTCACCAAGGAGATGCTGCTGCTTAGTGTCACGACGGCGTACACAGGTAATGGCGCTGCGGGCCTGGCTCTGGCTGTGTCTGGCCGGAGGGCCCAGGCGGCAGCGTGTCCAGTCTCGGTTTTGGGCCCAGCGGAGTTGCCCTCCGGCTGGTCTCCGGCCTGTTAGAGAGTGGCTGGGCTGGAATGGGAGCTGGTTGATATTTGCTACTTTGAGGTGGGGGGTGCCAGGCTGGGTGTCTCCCCACGCAGTCATGGCTCCTGCCCATTGCTGCCTCCTGACCCAGCAAGGCACTTTTTAGTGTCCAGGTTTCCAGAAGGGTCAGAAGAGGCCAGAAAAAACCTTCATGACCAGCTCAGACGTGACCAGCCCAGCATCACTTCCCCAGCATTCCTGTGGTAAAAGCAAACCGCAGCCCAACTCAGTGTGGAAGAACTCCACACAGGGCAGGAAGGCCGGCCTCACTCATCCTGCGCCCGGGCCTGGGCCTGGGCCAGGGCCCAGCCGATTCCTCAGGCGGCGACAGGTGGCGCTCTTGGGTCTTAGGAAGTGGGGGGTCCGCGGTCCGCTGCCAGAGCCAGTGGTCACTTTGCCTTTGAGGGCTTTCTGGGTACAAAGGCCTCTCTAGGAGAACCGAAATAAATCTGAAGCATCTTTAAAATTCAGTTACGGTTTTGTTTCATTGGGAACCAGGTCTCTGATGTGCCCTCGTTTTCTGCCTTAAGCTTTAGAGTTTGTTTTCCTCGTAAAAGGTTTTTATTAAGACACCCTTATGCCTTAAGCCAAAGTGTGTGTGCAGGCGTCCGTCGCTGCACTCGTGGGGAGCTGCTCTCGGGGTCACGCGCTCTTGGGGCTCCCTGTCACGAGTTATGCACAGTACTTTGGCCCTCCCATTCAGAGTGGCCCCTTCCGACAGGGGAGACCTTTGCTCACTGGACTAGTTTGTTCTTATCTAAAATACATAGTGCCTGGCCTGCGGCTCTGGCCAGTTTATCAGTCAAGTAGCACAAAACGGTCCCCCACCCCCCAACTCCCGCCCCAGACAGCTTTTCTCTGCTGTCCCGAGTGCGGCCTGTGAAGGCGAGCTGGGAGCGGGAGGTGACATGCTCGATTTAAGTCTGATTGTTCGCCCTCCAGGTCTGGAGTTGACTTTCTTCTCTGGGGTGTATGGAACCTGTATCGGTGCTGTAAATAAATTTGGAACCGAAGAGAAAGGCCTCATTGGGCTTTCTGGCATTTTCATCGGCATTGGAGAAATTTTAGGTAGGTCTAAAAATTTAAAAAAAAATTTTTTTTTTGGCATTAAGTTGTGTCTAGAGACATAGTAGAAATGTTAAGTGTATTTTCACATCTTTTTTGAATTGCTAGTTTTCTTGCTTATTTTACCTAAGTGGATATGTCCTTGTTCTTGTGTCATCACTATTCTAAGCCAACTAAATTTTAAGACATTTGCCGAATAGTTCACCACAAAACCATATGTAAGAGAGCGCATGGTTCTCGCTCTTGCTGGCCTCGTGGACAGGGCTGTCTGGCCCGGTCCAAGCAGAGAGGACAGCAGGGAGGCGTCGCCTGCGGGGGCCCCGTGTGGCTCCGTGCAGTCACGTCTCCCATGACCAGAACAAATGGGTGTCGCTGCCGGTGTCGAGCTTAGATTCTTGGGGAGAGCGGAGAGCTGCGGGGATGCTGACCCCCGGGCTCCGCCCTGCCTATTGCTGACACCTGGCGCGCAGTGCACCTGCCTGAGTGTCCGCACGTTGCCCGTCCCCAGGGCCAGGTGGAGTAAGCCGCAGTGAGCAGCAGTGTCCTGCTGCTCCTGACACCGCTGGTCCGGGGTTGCTCAGCACCTCGCTGCGCGGTCCCGGTTTCTGGGGCGCAGGGCAGGGGTTCGGGCCTTTCCCCAGGGTCAAGTCTCGCGTGGGGACATTTCCCGTGCCAGGCGGGGCCGGTCCGTTCGCCTCCCCTGCGGGTCTCCTCCTGGGCCTCACCCTCCATGGGCCGGGCGTTGCCGCGGGTGTGATTCGTCAGCTCGTCAGCCACGCTGCAGTGACGCCGCGGCCCACGGGCCACGTGTGCGCCTTCGTTCAGCGTCATCCCGTACAGGCTGGAGGCCAGAGAGCAGAGCGTGGGGGTGACTCACAAGGGGTGCAGGGGTGTACAGGCAGGGACGTGAGTCACCGAGGCCGCCGCCTGAAGGCTGCTGTCCGGCAGGAGCTGAGTGCGGGCCCCGAAGATGGGGAGCAGCCAAGAGTGGCGCTCTTTGCCCCGTGCTGGGGCTCACAACCGAGACGCGAGAGCGCGACGGCGCTGTGTCTGCCCGTTGCCTTTGCAGGGGGGGGCCTCTTCGGCCTGCTGAGCAAGAGTAACCGCTTCGGCAGAAACCCAGTCGTGCTCCTGGGAGTCCTGGCGCACTTTGTGGCCTTTTACCTGATATTCCTCAACATGCCGGCGGATGCCCCCGTGGCCCCTGCGGAAGGGACGGACAGCAGCGCTTACATCACGCCCAGGTAGGGGCTGTGGCTCCCGGCAGCTTACCTGCACCCGGGGCTGGGCGTCGGCATTACATAGGGATCGGAAGTCTTTTTCTTGGACTTTGATGAGCAAACAGCGTTATTGGAAGTGAATTTATCTCTGCGTTTAAGCAGAGACATGTCCAGAAGTGGGGGGCTGCAGTAGGAGCAGGGGACATCTGCCAGCTGGGCAGGCCACTGAGTGCCTCCAGGGCACTTTTGTTGCGCGCCCTC